AAAATTTCGTCCTAAAAAGGACGAAACTGGATTACATAATTATTCAGGGTCTCTGGCTAAACCTATGTTAGGGCTTAAAAATAAATGGAAAAATTGCATCCCAATTGGAGACTGTTTAATTTGCGCTCTATCAAAGCGACCTTATAGTTGTCATTTTTTTTGTTCTTTTAAATTAAAGAAGTTAAGGGAGCAATGGTAAACTAGTGAACATACAATTTCTCAGTAAAGCCACAGTCGACAAAGTGAGGGGTTAGTTTGCAGCTGAAAGTGCCACCAACTTGTTCACTCCTGCAAACAAGTTGTCTCTGTTCGCGACAAGAAAACACATTTTTTCCCCCAAAATATTCAAAGGGAAACAAATCTAAAAATTCTACAATCTTTAAACATTTAAAAGTTATCTCCCCTGGTAATGTTTTTAAATGCAATTACTTGCAAGGTCGTTTACCTTGGTGAAACAGGCAGTTAAGAATATACTCGAATTTGTGTTTCAGTTTCTAGGATTCAGCTATTTGCTGCATTTTAATCAATTGTTACTGTAGTATGCACCTGTCGAGATACAGCGAAATATGCCAGGCAATAAATTGTGCAGTCTATTGTTTGTATCTTCTTTGTTCAAATTACTTGCTTGTGAAAAGCAACTTTATGTTAAATGTGTTTATCATTTACGCCCTTCTTAGGACGTAATTTTTTGTTATTTGAAGCCCCACTCTGGCTTTTGCCAGTGGCCGCAATATAGGCAGGTCATTATTATGGCCAAATGTCTGAACGCGGTTTCTGGGACCTCTCCACGGTGATCCTCATCCGCATGGTGGCACTTTGTGTCATTGGGTGTTTATCGCTTGTGTGATGTCCTGGTGGGGTAGAAAGTCAGTCAGTCAACTTTATGTTTGGATTGGCTTTTTACCCCACCAGGACATCACACAAGCGATAAACACCCGATGACACAAAGTGCCACCATGCGGGTGAGGATCACCGTGGAGAGGTCCCAGAAACCGCGTTCAGACATTTGGCCATAATGATGACCTGCCTATATTGCGGCCCCTGGCAAAAGCCAGAGTGGGGCTTCAAATAACAAAAAATAACGTCGTAAGATGGTGGCACTTTGTGTCATCGGGTGTTTATCGCTTGTGTGATGTCCTGGTGGGGTAAAAAATCCAATCCAATTCCAACTTTATGTTTGCAGTTAGTGAATTGATTTAACAATCTCGTGATCATTGAACCTTCGGTTTCGACTTCTTCGACGGATGATTTATTATTATTTTGTTTCCTTTGAAAAAAAAAAAAAAAAATGTTGTTTTAGTTTTTGACAGTATTACGAGATTCGCAGTGTGGAGGAGAATGGGACCTCACCGCTAAAAAAAAAAAAAATTACAAAACACCAATACAACTTCGATGAATCTAATTACGACTGAAAATCAACTGACTGTTCCTAAACATCATTGGTCAAGAACGTATATGCACATCAATGTGAAGACAACCTCGGAAGCAACAAGTGGCACTCCAGACCCGCTGACCACTGCCCAGTCTAATCTACATCATCGAAGCATTTCACATTCAAGCAGGAAGTCACTTTCTTCTCGTGAGTGTTCACTGGCTGTAAACTCCTGGGGGTGGGTGTAGGGAAGTTCTGATTGTTCGTCCATTTATAAAATTTGGTTTTGTTTTGGAAATTAGGTTTTGCGTACACATCTGTTTCAAATACATGGCTTACTTGTATGCACATTCCGTGCCTGGCCTCTTGTGCAGAAATACGGATATTTAGTCCATTTTTACAACATGCTTGTTAAGGGCGCGGTGGTCCTATTCTTTTCTTTTTTTTAACTCCCTAAAATAGGGTCCCGGAGACCATAGAGGAATCGTTTGTTATCACGAAGCAAGTTCCCCACAGAACCTTGCTCTCATCGAAGTCTGCTTGAAACTCGGTCATTTGCCAACTCTCCTACCTCGTGTACATTCCTACCCAAGGTGTCGCTTACTGTGCCCATCTTCAGGCTGGTAGGCCTCTGCCCCTCATTCCTGGTCCCAGGCCCTCTGCTATTATTCTTGTGTCTAAACCACCATGCGCTTGATATGGTCAATGACCCTGCCACCCAAGGACTCAATGTAGAGGCACCAACTGATAAAAGACTCCAAACCTCCCGTCTGCTACCCCAGCCACTTGTTGAAGCATCACTGACTAAAATCCCGGTAATCGGCCTCCTATCTCTCCCGTCTGCTACCCCAGGGACTCATTGAAGCATCACTGACTCAAATCCCGGTAATCAGCCTCCGATACCTCCCTATCAGAATTCTACTTTGGTCAACACTCCTAAAGTTCCCCAGCACCTGCAGTGCCCGTAAGGAAACCCGTCAACAAACGTGCCACAGCCGCAACCATGTCGACCCCATAGAAATGGTCGTCACAAGTCTATTCTAGAAATCACACTGACAGAATGCCCAAGTCCAACTCTGATCCACCAATTATCCAGGCAGAAAACATTGCTAAAATACAGTCAATGCATCCACTGGACATAAATTCGCATTCACAAGTCCACCAGTTTGAATGACTAACAGCAACTGGCTCAGGTTCCACGAATGCTCTCTAACAGGGGTAACTTACACGTGGATTTTACTTTTCTCGATAGCACTCGGGGTTCACAATCTCCTCGTGCTGTCTATCCACATGGATCGCACAATATCAGTGATGTCTGCCAGACTCATGTCCCCAGGTTGCCAGGTTTCACTGTTTTCCAGCAACTTTAAATGTTTACATTGCCAACCTGTCAACACAAATTAGTGGCTTCATTAACTCTCAAAACCCCACAGTGATTCGCACTCAAAATCGATGTCGTTTGCAGTTCCTATGCTCTGGAAAGGGCCCAGCAATCACGTAAGTGTTGGCGATCTGAAGCTGTCCAATGCTATAGTGTAGTTACTTGCATCAAGGCATAAACAATGTAATCTCATCCATTAAAATATCAGTCACTTTTGTTTTTCCTTTTTTGTTCACACTCTTCATGGTAGGTTTGTGCATTACTTCAGAAATGAAAAGGATCTTGTATTCTGCTGTGATATAGACTGCCTATAGGTAGGTAGGTAGTTGTACTTTAATAGGATACCACACAAGCGATAAACACCCGGTGACACAAAGTGTCACCATGCAGATGAGGTACATCCGTGGAGAGGTCACAGAAACCCATTTCAGCCGTTAGGCCATATCTATGGCTAGGCCATATTTATCCCCCTTCTATTTTCAGGGTCCCCGTCAAAAGCCAGGGTGGGGCTTTAAATAAAATAAAATGGCATCCCACGACATAACGACTTCTCAAAAGACTGCTTGTGTAAAACAAAAACTGAAATCCATCTAATCCAGTAGCACAAGCTATCTACATGAAAGAAACATTTGACAACCCGAAACAGTTGTTGCACTGTAGTCAATACAGCGAGTATCGCTGGCATTTCTGTTGTGACTTGAAGGTGATAGTCCTGTTGATGGTGTACCGCTAAAAGTATATTATAGCTTGTAGATAATAGTTGTATTCCTCTATAATGTTCAAATGTATCCGTGTCTCCCTTCTTAACAAACGGGTTTTAATAATGACTCTTTAAACTCACTGGGTAAGTTCTATGTCTTCCAAAGTCCATCTCTAAATGTAATGAATGACCACCTTCTTCTATAAATTGAGCAGCAATTCCATCAGCACCAGTTGCTTTATTGTTTGTAAGCCGGGTTATGACATATAGACCTTCTTCAAAATCTAGCCCTTCAATATTTGGTTCACATGTTGGTTTCTCTTTATTCTTTCTTCTACACAGTATCTACTAAAATGTGTGGTTTTGTTTCCCTTTTTTTCCCCCCTCCCCAATACAGTTTTTATTACACACAGGTGCGATTGAAGAACCTATGCTGCAGTGTATATCTCAGAAATCCTTATTTCTGCAGTAATTATGTTTGACGATATTGAAGGCATTCAGCAGAAAATTGACAATTCCCGGGGAAAAGACACAATCCCTAAAAAAAAAAAAGAAATAAACGCGTTTTTCAAGCAGATTCGTGACGTCACAGCTACTACACGTTGTATCCTCGAGTCGAACTACTCTCTTGTAAACTGATGATCATGTCTGCCTCCTTGACGCCATTTGTGACGCCATTTTTCCTGGCCACTTTTATCCCAGTCATTTGAAAGCCATTTGAGCGGACCGAGTCATTATGACTGTGACTGCCAGAAATCTGCAACAAGAATACAAGAGATTTGTAGGTTGACGATAAATGCATGAAATAGGATGACTGTCGAAAGGTAAAAGTAAGAAAGGAGAAATTTATTGAGAGATAATTTAGAATATAGGCCTTATTTTCTTTAATTTTAAATAAAAGAGAAACAGTTAAAGATAAAAACTGAAATACACGGGAAGAACTAACGAAATACAAGAAATCACAATGACATTAAGTGAATTAGTTGATATAGCTGCTCAGTCCACCACCTGCTCCCATGGTTTCACTTTCAAGCTCAGTCCATTGTCTGCTTCCTTGGTTTCACTTTCAAGCTCAGTCCACTGTCTGCTCCCATGGTTTCACTTTCAAGCTCAGTCCACTGTCAGCTCCCATGGTTTCACTTTCAAGCTCAGTCTACTGTCAGCTCCCATGGTTTCACTTTCAAGCTCAGTCCACTGTCAGCTCCCATGGTTTCACTTTCAAGTTCAGTCCATTGTCTGCTCTCATGGTTTCACTTTCAAGTTCAGTCCATTGTCAGCTCTCATGGTTTCACGTTACCCTATTGGAGGGAAAAGGGGAGAGGCGAGTGTGTTACTCCACCTTGCCCGAAGGTGTCTCACTGACTAGTGAAGGA